TGCCTCATTTCTTGTAACTGGATCAGCTTTTGCTATTTGGAAATCTGGCAACTGCGCTTCATATCTAAATGCCACACGATTCCTTCCTGATCGTGCGGGCTGGTAGTCCAGCGGGTTTCCAAATGATTGAGTTTCAGGCTTGTCATTTTGCTTTGGTATAACTGGCGCTTGATGCATGTGGCATCGAAGTAATTTTAAACTGCTGTTACAGCTTCGCCCGGCGTGAGCTGCTCTTTATATCGTTCGTCAGTAATCGGGCCGCTAGACACGAAGCCAGATGGAATAGCACCAGAGTTTGATCCATAGTAAGGCAGCCACTCCCAAACTATTACAACAAGTACTATATGCTATGGGATGTAGGTTGTAGTTTGTCATTAGCTACATTGTACATTGTGCTGCATACTTATATACCGCATTGAATCTAACATACTACTGTATTAATTATGCTGCCCAGAAGCATGTACCAACGGGTTTTTCTCCTGATGCATGGCTAGGAAACTTGAACGTAAAGCAGAGATGGAATACTTTTATCAACGGCCTACACGTTTCGTTGCCAATATCGTTAGCATCATCGGGATTGAATCATTGAATAAGTCATTTATTATTCTACTGGCACTTTCATCGCTCCAGTGATTAACGTATTTTGGGCCTTTGGTTCCATAAAGGTAATCGATTAATGCTTATATTTTGCAGAAATTCACTAAACCTCAGAAAGAGAAAACGTGAGGCCAGACAGTCATCGACCGATAAATCATAAGCTTCCTAGCACGTGCACCCCAGTTACTTGACTACACCTTTCAACCTTGATTCAGCATAAGGAACAGTTTTTACTAATCACATGGGAACAAATCTTCTTTGTTTTAAATTCATTTTATATTTACAGATACAGTTTTTTGCTTAGGAAGGACCAATGATTCACTCCGGAGCTGTTTTGGCAGCAGGAATTTCTCAAGGTCGATGTGTTACCATTCCTATGGATTTTCATGTATGTCACTGCTTTATCGTTTGTTCGGAAAATTATGCATGAAGTGATTGGTGTTCATGTTTCAATGTCATATGACGTCAAATCTGTTTGTCAATCTTTTAATTTCAGGTGTTTGATTATTTCCGTACGGATCGGGAGAAAAGGGATTTCGTATGCGCAGGGGCCGCTTCTGGAGTTGCTGCGGCGTTCGGGGCTCCAATAGGCAAATTTTTATTATGCTTTTCCTCATCTCCAATATAATCTTCTATCTTAGGCGGTGTCTTGTTCAGCCTTGAAGAAGGGGCAAGTTTCTGGAACCAGTCTTTAACGTGGAGAATCGTAATTACAGACTTTTTTGTTTTCTGATAGATGTACAGATCATTAAATAATTTAGTTTTTCGCATCCATGATATCGTCCTTTGTTCTCAACTTTCTGCTCAGTGCCTTTTACGGAAAACCAGGCGCTATATCTTGGCGAGGTTTGGCAAACTTCGGATTTTTTGGGGTTTGTTGTTTTTCGTTTCGTGTTTTATGTAGCTATGAGTTCGCTACAACGTTATTTCAACTTCCATACCCTGCGATTGACGGCTATATAGGAATGCTATATTTAGGAAATGCAGCCATTCTAATAGATAAGACTAAACTGTTGACCTCTTAATGTCATTAGGCTAGAATCTGACCTTTGTCACTGAGTCCTGATTTTCAGTTCAGAGATAGATTTCATTGTGAAAATCTTTCAGCATGATTCGCTCGCGGTTAATATAGGCAGATGCCCATAATCCTTCCATTCTCGTTTTGTTCTTTAGGGTCTGCTTATTAAATTTTTCTGTACCGCTAAAATTGCTGATGACAAACAATCCCATTGCATACATTGACAAACTGTTGATAAATTGATGAAATTATTGGTAGTTCAGCACAAGTAGACTTTCGATCGAAGGGTGGCTAGGTCGAAACTACTGCAGGCATTCATTTTTGGTTTTCTTCTGGTAGATGAGTTTGTTGTACTTAATGGAAGAGAAATTTGACACTGACACTGCAGGTTGCACATCTACCAACTTTGCCTTCAGAATCTAACGCGTCTGACCGATTGCGTTCAAGTGATGATTGGCGCATTGCACTTTGCTTCAGAGGGAACGGTTCTGTATACTTTCTTCTCGTCATTTGTAAGACCGTCTTACATGCGAAAGGCCGTAAATTTTTTTTAATTACTTTTTCTTGATGTCCCGTGTACAAGTAGAGCGCTTATGTGCAAACCGCAGTAGTATTGGAGCCCAAGGCCACAGTTCTTATCTATCCCTATAGGAGGCATTAAATTTTTCTGATGTTTATCTGTATCTCTACAACGCGCGATAGTAACTGAAATTGGATATCGGAATTTTGAACCACTGGACCACAGCCAGGTTAGCTATTTACTACAGATTCATTATAGTCAAAATATAGGAATGTTTCATGCATTTATTCTCATGGTAGACATTTCTTTTCGATTGTAGAGTGGTAGCTATTCAACCAGGCTATTTCAATAGTTTTGATCGTATGTCTATCCCAAAAGTTTTAACGACCGGACTCAACGATCTCTGGATGTCAGACGTATTGTGTAGTATTGGTATATAGTAGGACACCGTTTATTGTGCTGTATAATTAATACATGTGCGCGTCAGTGAGTTAAGGGCAAATTTTTAGCCAGATCGGCTTCCAAGTGTAAAATGGGAAATTTTTTGATCTCTCGACCTCAGTAAACAAGTCTTTCGGTGAAAACAACTGTATTTGCTAACATCCAGTGTAAAGTGTTTTACACGGTCAGTAAAAATTTGCGCCTATCAGCTTTGACGTTAATTATATGGCGATTCAGAACAATCCGATGAAGCAGAACTGACATTTGCTTTGTGATGTTACTCTCTTTCTTTATAACCTCGCAGTTGCTTGACATGTGTGAAGTTGAAATTAGTTATAATTTTGATTAATTAACAGCACCGCCATTTTTTAGGAAATCAATTACAGTATCTTAGAGCTTGGCATATTCATCGCCATTGGAGCGATTGGAGGTCTCTCTGGAGCACTTTTCAACCATATCAGCTACAAATTAACGATATTTCGAATGCAGTATGTGGTTTTCCTCATATTATGTATTTAAGAAGTGTTTTAAAATTATAGTCTTTTTCCTTTTCTCTTTCCTTTATGATTGCATTTTATCATCCTTTTCTTTCATTTCACACGTCTTTAGTTTTCCTTCACCCTTTGTCTTGCGTACCTTATGTTTCTACGTTACAGTACTTTAATTGCTTACCTGCTGATCTTTATCACCCGTGACTTATTATTTCTTTAGCTCATTCTTTATTTTGGCTGAAGAAGGAAGACCATTGATGATTCCGAAAGCTTCAGTTATTTTATATGATCTTCAGACCTCTCTTTTTTTATCTGTTATCCTCTATGCCTTTTATAACTGAATTTACAGTCCTCACTTAGCGCGTTCCTTTTCTTAACTATTATGTAGTAATATTCCGTTCTTTATTTACTGCCCTTTCTTAAGGGGTTATTAACATGAATCCTCGATGCTCATTCGCTTCTGTATCGGGTGATTTATAGCAACAAGCTTTCATATTTCTGTTTTGGCTCGCCATCTGAAGCGAGGTCTTTCAATTAGGCGTTGGTAGCAGTCCATCGGTCACGTGTCAGTCGTACGATGCAGGTAGCGGAATGGGGTCCATTTATGTTTGCGTATTTATTTCTTTCGATCTTGGCAATTGGTTTGGCTACTGTCTGCACTTACCAGGCATCCATTCACGCCGGCCAGATGGAGTTACAGATATCGGCTCTGTGAGGCTTCGCTCAGTAGGAGTTTTACTCGATTTGCTGGGGGTACAGCCGCCTCTTTTCAGGTGATTTCTCCGCCGCACCGCAGAGCGGTAACTCATCTCCCGGAGGATGCTGTTTTTTAAAACGGATTGTCTGTTTTTAAAACAGTACTTGAATTCTGGTGCATGGTTCTTAATCACGATGGTCCGTAAAGGTCTGACTGCGCATAGATATGCTACATACGACCCAT